TCAAACACGCTTGTATGTAATAATATGAAACTCGGTACACATGTCGATCTCATCGTTTCATCTATACCTCACACTCTCACTTTTTACCCCAGCCCAACAGGAAGTCGGCTATTGAGGTTTGTTTGTAAAACACACGCAATGGAATGTGAAATACTCCTCCTAGAGCTTTGACCCAAATTCGACGAAACTCAGTCAGCATGAAGTCAAGACATTGAGGATGAAAGTTTGCGAGGGGATTTTTGATATCTCGAACGGTTTGGCCGTGGCGAGGAAACGAAATCATGGCGAGAAACGTGAAACAGGAAGTGTGTTATAACTTCAGCATACTAACTGATCTTGATGAAACTTCAGCAGTGTGTTCGCTGTAAGAGGACGATCACATAGCTATGACTATTGTGAGTCAAAGTTATAGCGCCACCAACTGGCAGCAGGAAATGTGTCACTTTCAAAATGCTTTGAAATCACCCTTTTATTTTTACCCGATTTGCTTCAAACTTCATCTGTATAATGTAAACATACGGCAGATGAAGACGTGTGAATGGATTCTTGATATCTTTGAAACTGTTGCCGTGGCAACGCTTCAAACTTTGAAATTATTTTAGGATGCTTTTGAGACTCTTAGCATGCTTGAAATTGCATGAAACTCAACAGACACATCACATTTATTAGCCAGTAGACATGTGCAAAGTTTCAGAAACGGGCATGGTGCAAGGACTAAATAGCGCCACCTTTTGACAAAAGTGGGGTTGTTAGTTTTATCTACAGTTACAAAAATCGGTATATACCTTGTACTCCTCAAGCCGGACAACTTTCTAATACATAGTCATTAGCTCGGACCAAGAGGAAGTCAGATATTTTGGTTTGAATATGGTGAGCCTCTCTCTGAGCCTACGTCCCTGTATGGCAAGCCCTTTTAACATTTAAAAGCTCAGTTTGCCTATTGTAGATATCAACAATGTCTTTCTGTCTAGTCGTAATTACATTTTGGATAGTTTGTATTATCATTTAAGATATCTGTAACATAATTGTGACTAGTCGAAATGACAGAGTATGGCAAGCCGTTTTAACATTTAATCATGAAAGGGCCAAAGCCTTCGGCACCTCCAACGCGGTGCCTTTAGGTAACTAAGGTTCCACCGGCTTGGGCCCGCCATCGCTGCTCGCAGCTATATTTAATGACTCAATTTTCATTTTTGGGTGAACTATCCCTTTAAAGAAATATATATGTATATACAGTAGATGTTACTTAAAGAAATATACCGTATTTTATTGTATTGTATATTATAAGGCGCACCTTCAATGAATGACCTATTTTAGAACATTTTTCATATACAGGGTGCACCGGATCATAAGGCGCATAAGATACTGCAGTCAAACATTTGACTGGGTTTGCGTTATGCATCCACTAGATGTGCTAAAGGGAATGTCAACAAAACAGTCAAATAAAGTCAAACTTTATTAAGTTTTCTGACAACTCCGTTGTCCGTTACAATGGTAATGTTGTTCAAACGTTAATATGCATATTAACAATATTACATACAGCCTTACTCAATTTGCCAAATGTGGAGGGGAACTTTTCCCTTATTCAAAACGTAACGTTAGACATGTAATCACCATTAAATCAAACGTTAATGCATAAATGCATAAATTGCTCACTTATTACAGCTCTTCTCCCAAACGTGGAGAGGAACTTTTCCCTAATTCATTAAACACGTAGCAAGTAGCAGCTAGCACGTATGCTACCGTAGTAAAAGAAACAGTCTGATAACACTCAATCAAACGTTAGCGCATACTGCATACAGTACTCAACATTGTTCAACATACTAGTATAACCATAGACTGTAAAAAAGCGTATAACATGTAAAGCTCACTTTTTTTCCAGTTCATTCCCCGTCCACGAATCCCTCGAATTCTTCTTCTTCAGTGTCCGAATTAAATAGTTGGGCGATTACAGCATCCAACCTGCCCCGCTCCCTCTCGTCATTATCCGAGTCATTGTCACTGCTGTTGCCTGGTAGTTCAGATATTATTCCCGCCTTCGCGAAAGCTCGGATCACAGTTGAGACTGATATATCAGCCCAGGCATCCACGATCCATTGGCAGATAGTGGTGTAAGCATAGACTGTAAAAAAATATTTACGTAGTGTCCGTGACGTCACCCATAGGTTTCTGAAGAGCGTTTTTGAGGCCTAAAATGGGCGTGGCCGGCCGTCGCCATCTTGGCAGTGCGTCACCTCTCGTCACTACCGGATAAATTAAAATGGGCAAAGAGGCGGGACGCGGGTGGAGCTGAGGTGCTAATGCTATGCTACTGTTCTACTGAATTGACAGCTGATTGAAAAAGTAAAGCCAATGGTTAAAGTTCATGTTTTGCCCTTCGAAATATTATAATAGTTAAGACGTAACTAAAAGTGAGACTATTTACTTTCCTTTTTTATCAACTTTATTAATCTCACAAGGGGCATGTATACAAGTACATAACACAGATCACACACATTTCTCACAACATACAGTCAACTATTGCATCGTGATGCATTATTATTTTGCTAGTTAAAAATGTATTAATTACTTACAATATTGCTCTAAGCTTGTGCATGTGACAGTGATTCTTCAAGGCAAGCACACGTCAGTCGCCATCTCACGTCAAGTTCGTAAAGAGCTTTAATTCAGTCCATTTTACAATCTGATTTTGGCCGCCTCTCAGTTTCTCAGATGGGTCAAACCAAATATATTATCTCAGAACTTCAAGTAAATGAACTAGAAATCCGCGCTCATTCATGGGTGTGCACCTGTTGCATGGACGGAGAGAAAGCACTGAAATCATCAGACATCCATTAGTGCATGCGACGGAAACAGCTGGAAACACAGTGCTGGTTATTCTCTCCATACTCAACACGACGGAATCCAACGGCGTGCACGGGCGAAGGTATAATACATGTATTAAATTGTATGAAATAATCCCGGAAAAAGCACAAACACAGCTGAGTGTGACGCTAACAGACAGCAGACAAACGACTAGCAGTGAAAGCAGCGGCACCTGTCACTCAAGTGTCCACGCCCTTAATTATGCAGAACTTTAAGGCTTAAATATAATTTAAACAGATGAGTTGTAAAAAAATACACCCTACCCCCTCACAGTTGTCATGAAGGGAAAAATGAGCTCTATAGGCCAAAGCCACTTTTTGCTCCAGGCTGTAAACATGTTTTTTTCTGCTGTAAAGTTGGGCATTTTAACATGGGGGAGATACAGATTTGACTCGCTTCTGCAGCCTGCCTCAAGCGGCCACTCGATAAATTGCAGTTTAATTTACTTCCGTGTTGGCTTCAAGAGAGAGACGGGGAGGTTGCCGCTTGGGTGTAAGTCGCCCGGCGCTGTCTCCCCGTCTTGGTGAACGCGTGTTCACCTTCTGTCATCCACTGCTCCCACGCAGCTCGCAGTCTAGCTTTGAACGCCCTGTTGACACCAATATCTAGTGGCTGGAGTTCTTTAGTTAATCCACCCGGAATGACGACAAGCTCCGAATTAGTTTGCTTCACTTGTTTTTTGACAGCATCGGTGATATGGGCGCGCATGGAGTCGTATATAAAAAGGGACGGAGCTGTGTGGAAAAAGCCACCCGGTCTCTTGACGTAAATTTCTCTCAACCACTCACTCATCTTTTCCTCATCCATCCATCCTTTCGGGTTAACTTTGATGACGACGCCGGCTGGAAAGTTTTCTTTTGGCAAGGTCTTCCTCTTGAAAATAACCATGGGTGGAAGTTTCTGGCCATTAGCCTGGCAGGCGAGAACTACAGTAAAAGATGACTTCTCATTCCCTGTGGTGCGTACAGACCCTGTACTGGTCCCCGTTTTCTCCACAGTGCGGTTCATGGGAATATCAAAGGTGAGTGGAACCTCGTCCATGTTGGTGATGTGATCTGGCCGGATCTTCTTTTCAGTGATCTTCTTTTAGCAGTATGTAGTATATTCTACTGCGTGACCGACAGCCTTGAGCTTGAACTCTGCATCATAAGCGTGTCTCTTGACAGGTGCCATTTTGAAGCATTTACACAGTAACGTTTTTTACTGACTACGGTAGCCGTAATGCTGCAAGCGTGATCCAATTAACCAATTGATCCATAATTTTTTATAATTTTTTTAAATTAAAGACTTTTAAGTGTGCCTTATAGTGCGGAAAATACGGTATGTGTATATAGATGTGTTTTTGATTTTTGTTGTAATGGATGGAGGCATGTAGGTTTAAAGGTTAGGAATTACTAGGCTACTGAAGAACATCTGTGCTTAGTTATCTAATCCCAGACAGAGAGATAACAACTTACTCAGACTACGAATAAGAAGTATTATATTGTAGCAATTAACCATGTGGCCATAAAAGCAACCTCAAATCAGACAGCAGGTTGAGGAGACCTCTGAGTAGCCTAGTAATTCCTAACCTTTAAACCTACATGCCTCCATCCATCACAACAAAAATCAAAAACCGACAATATTGTTCAATATTTTTTATCTGTGGAGTTATAATAGCAAAAACAGAATGAAAATGGACAAAGATCTAATTGTGTCGTTTTTGGACACATGACCTAGATTTAGCATCCTATCGATTTATTTTAAAAACTCGTTTCCAAGATGAGCCCTTAATCTGACAAGCATACCGTCAAACATACTGTAAGTTCTACATACATTCTAAATCATAAACCTTTAAGACATTTTCTAAAACCGTGACATTAAGCAAGAATAAATAACGGTATAATGAAGGATGGAGAGACCAATTGAAAACACAACAGAATGTTTTCACCATTTCATAAATCTTATCAAAGGATAAAAAAAATATAGAAAAATTAGTGTATTGGAAGGATGTTTGACATGTACCCAGGAGATCATGCATCACTAACAACTTTACAACGACTGCCATTTCTTTGTATAATTCTACCCTTGTGTGCATTTTCAGTGACATGTCCATAGTCATTAATTTATCTAAAATCCTAGTTTAATAAGCCTACCTGTGTGGAGAGGGCCAGGCCCCTCAGCATGAAGCCCAGGACACATCCTGTGATTACAGCTAGTACCGAGAGCGTCAGCAACCCGTTTCGCCTGATGTAGTCCTTAACATACTTCCTGACACTGACTGAGAACATGCTGGCCATGCAGTCCTTTATTCTCTCTAGCGGGGTTTTAGCAGGTCCCGCAGGAGAGAAGAAGGTTGCAGGCTCGGGCGGCGCCTCTTCGGCTTCTGTGGGTATCAGTAGCTCCTCCATGGCGAGACGCTGTGAGTAACGCAGGAGGGAAAAGCAGAGGTAACCTTTTCTAACGAGGGATTAAGCCATCATGCATCCACCCAGCATCTCAAGACCACGGTTAGGAGGAATTAGGAGGCTAAGAGGATTAGGATGTAGTAATAAAATCTAACACTTCCCTGTTGACGGTGGCTCTGTGCCATTTAGATTTTTGTCATGAATTGGTGTCAAATTGAAATAACCCCCACTTTGTGTTTATTTATACTGTAGTAGAAGAATGATCAGAAAGTAGTGCATTGTGTTGTTCGCAAACCTAATCCATATAGTGAGGTGAGGTAAATGATCTAAAGCCACAGGGAAAGTCAGCACGTGCTTTCCCCTGATCTCGTTAAAGATGAGAGTGTCCATTACAAAAAGAAATTCCAAAAAAATTCCTAGAGAATAGACTGACATAGGTAAATGAAGTTCCAAAGTCTTGAAGTTCAGCCTATACTCTTATAATCTGTCTTGTTGTGGTTTAACAGGATTTTCAAGGTATAACTCGACAGACCTGTCCAATGGCCATCAACGCCATTGGACAGGTCTGGGGGGATGAGATCCATCTCTATCAATGATTTATTGATAGAGATGGATCTCATCCCCCAGTCTTTTTTTCTCAAAAAATCTCAACATTTACAATAACACATATTCTCACAATGACTTGAATCTTTGATTCATTTCACTAAAAAGTATTTTTGCAAGTAACACTATCAACTTGCGAGTGTCTTTTTGTGTTGAGTGAGTCATTTGAATTAACCGATTTATTTAACCGAGACTTATAATGCTTTATTAATATTTGTGTTCCTAATACAGTGGCTCTGAAGTGCAAATACATTTACCAAATCATAAAACACAACAGAAAAAAAAAAAAAAACTAAATAAAAATGGAAAGAGCGGTTATACTAAATTTTGATTTGAAAATAGTTTTGCAGCTTTGTAGAGGCTAGCAATAGCAAGCTATATAATATATATAATATATAATAGCACACACACAAAAACACACACACAAACAAACACACACACACAGAGACATTGGGTCTAGTCTCGCCTAGAGCTCAAAATACCTTGTGTTGGTTTATCTCTTACCTACTTAACTACCCACATAGCAAACAGACTTGGCCCAAATGTGGCCTCATCATGGCACTGCTGGCGTGTTGCCGGCACTGGCAGGCATCATGTCAGCCAACTGTGGGCCAAGTGTGGCAATGATGGCACTGCATGCACGAAAGGCAGACAACTTTTGGGCCAATTGTGGATGGGAGGTGTGTGGCCCAGATCAGTGTAGCGATTATGGGCCATATTCTGTGTACTGGACAATTATAAGTCTGCTACTATCAAGGCAAGATTATACCCCACCCCTCCAAAAAAAGATGTTAAGATTTTAATAAGAAATAATAATATTCATTTACTTAAATGAGTCAGTGAAAAAATATATGTCCAATTGTTTAAAAAATGATTAATAATGAATAAATATAGTATTTAGTTTTCAGCAATGTTCACAAAATGCATCATTAAAAAATATACATTTACTAACATTATAATTTGTTTTTTTTAAGTATTAGGCCTATTATTTATTTGAATTTGTTTTTATAAATTTGTAATAAAAAAAAAAATCCACATACAAGTCTAAGTTTTCCATACTTTTTATTTTAAGCACCACCAAATCATGTTAAAAATGTAATATTTGTATATATTTTTTTTTCGAAATAACAGTTTATTTAAAACAACTGCAGTCAAATATTGTTTTTTTTTTTTTGGCGCAATCTCCATGGTAACAGCAGCTTTTCTGGTTGGTTCACGTGATGCATCTTTTAAAATTTCTCCCGCTGAAGGTTGAAGATGAAAACATCTCAGACAACCGCTATACGGGTAAGTGAAGTTCACTCTCTTTTCTGGCACTTTTTAATACCTGATTTCAAACTCGGATGCCACTTTTTTCTTGAAGTGAACTTTTGCCTATGGTAGCTGATTCAGCTGCCCCTGAACATGACAATGCCAATACAGACGCGAACGGGGTGCGATCATGTGCGATAGACCAGGCCTGCCGAACGTCCGAGGCGTGGTACTTCATGTGTGCGAAACAATGTAATGTTAAAGCTTTTAAAATTATAGGAAGATCACAGCAAATTCAGCAACCAGAATTGACTTATAAAGCTGAAAGTGTGGTTGTATAATCAGATGATATCTAAATCTAATCGACTAAGGTAAAGTTGGTTTTATATTCGCACATTCGTGTTAAAGAACTTTTTCAATTAAATAGTCAATGAAGCAATTTTTTTTCAGATTCGAAGCAGCTACATGATATTGACAACAAAGATAGTGAACTACAAACTTTTTTACAATCGATCAAAATGGGCAAGTATATTTTTGATGCATGCATAATTTAGCGAATATTCAATGTAGTGTGGTAACCAAGATAGGGACGTCTACAAATTTAACATTGTTTCATCGTGTGCAAACAGACAATTACATTCCAACTACAGATGTACCAGAAAATATCTCTCACATTGTGTTCTAATGCAATAAAATGTCCTTTAGCAACAATAAGACTGCATTATAATGATGGTGTTTAAAAAGGTGTTTAGCAAATAATAAAGAACATGTCGGCTACATGAACTGTAATCTGGTAACAATCCAGACTGTAGAAAGTGAAAAATCATGTGTAATCTCCTGAACATAGTTAATTGCTTCATTTTACATCTGTTTAAATTTTTGTTTATCTATTTATTTGAAATCAAAATGAACAAGAACAGTGTTGGTGTTGGTTTTAATAATAACATAATTTATTTCAATAGGTTTTGAAAGGATGGGCCGACTGTTCCTAAGCAAGTTGGATCTTCTTGTCTAGACCCTACAGAACATACTACTTCTTCCGACTGGGTGTCTATGGCAGCCCATAGAACCGATTGCAGGAAAGTTATGAAATTTGGTACACTGATAGAGGACAGTCGGAAAATTTGGAGTCTCCAACTCAATCCCTCTAGCGCCACCAACTGTCCGAAATTTCACTTTTATTATGCTAATAACTTTTGAACCATAAGGTCTATCAACAAAATTCTTTTTTCCTCTGATTCCTGAGCTCATGACAATTTGATCGCATCCTATTACGTCATTTTTCGTCAACGAATATGGACGTTATTTTGAATTGTGTGAAAAAGCTACTTTTGCAAACTCGTCCTAGATGGTTTTTCCGATTTTCACCAAAATTGCACCAGATCATCTCCAGGCGGTGCTGACAAAAAGTTATGAAATTCAAGTCGATTCGCTTAAGAGTTTTTGAATACCGCGCAAATTAATTTTATGTAATGCTTGCAAAAACAGACATACGGCTGTATCTCCGCAACGCTTTGACTTATTTAGACCAAACTTGGTTCATGTCATCATAAGCATAACCTGAGAATACATGCAGCGTTTCGGCGCTGCGCCACCTACTGGTCCGGAGATATGATAAATGGCTATTTTTGCTCTTAACTTCTGAACAATTTCTCCAAAAATCATAAACTTGGTCTCGTTAGATTCAGGGCATCATGCCGAGTCGACCGATATCAAATTTTCCCAGATCGGCCATTTTGGCTGTCGGCCATTTTGAATTATGTGTTAAAATGCTGTATTTTTTGAACGCATGAACGAATTGTTACGGAACTCGGTATGGGTCATCAGTACGATGCCCTGAAGGAGCCTGAGAAGTTTCGAAACAGCGCCACCTAGTGGAAAAATAAATTTTCAAATGCTTATAACTCTGGCTGTGGTTGACTTATTTTCACGGGAGTCATCTCCTTGAGTTCCTGAATCATTGCCGAGTCCAACGATACCAAATATGCTGGGTTTCATCTTACGGTTGGTGTAGCGTAGCGATTTAGCGCGAAAAAAACATTTGGTGATATCTTCGAAACCGCTGTTCCGATCGAGACGAAACCACCGTCAGAAAAACGGAAACATAGATCAATAGCTACATGCCAATTCCCAAATTCAAAAATCTTGATAGTAAGGGGTAGTAAAACTCAATCAAAGTCAAGTAGGAGTCATTTTTTACGTGTTTTTCACATACATGTCTATAACTCCGGAGGTAATTGAGATATTTTCACCAAATTTGGCACACAGATGTATGGGCTCAGTCTGAGGACATGTAAAAAAATTGCATGACTGAGCCTCTTGGTGGCGCTGTAAAAGAACATAATATGCTGTACTTAACGAATGCATTGGTGTAACATTACGAAACTCAGTTTGTGCCATTAGCACCATCCCCTGAAGGTACTAAAAAGATTTCAAGACAGCGCCACCTTTTGGTCAAAAGTTATAACAAAATTTATAAAAATGCTTATGACTTTTGAATAAATCTGCGTATTTTAATGCGACTGATTTGAAGGTTGTAAAAGGTCGATTTTGTAACTACGCCACCTATTGGGTGAAAGTGATAATCTATTTAATCACATTTTTAGTTAATTGGATGTGATTTTTCAGCCATTTTGACTAAATTCATCTTTAAATGTCTTCAATGGCTCCTTGCTGCAGTTGGTCTGACACATGTTGGCATGTTTGATTGTCTGATTGTGCTTGGCCCCGGTAATTGCTGCTTGCAGCTATATTTAGGGGCCAAGCACCGATGGTGCGGAGGCACCTATTGTAACTGTTCCGGTTCTTATTAGGGGCCAAGCACCGAAGGTGCGAGGCACCTATTGTATCTGTTCTGGTTCTTATTATTATTAGGGGCCAAGCACAGATTGGGGCGGAGGCACCTATTGTATTTGTTCTGGTTAGGGGCCAAGCACCGATGGTGCGGAGGCACCTATTGTATCTGTTCCGGTTCTTATTAGGGGCCAAGCACCGAAGGTGCGAGGTACCTATTGTAATCGTTCTGGTTCTTATTAGGGGCCAAGCACCGATGGTGCGGAGGCGCCTATTGTATCTGTTCCGGTTCTTATTATTATTATTAGGGGCCAAGCACCGAAGGTGCGGAAGCAACTATTGTATCTGTTCCGTTTCCTATTATTAGGGGCCAAGCACCGAAGGTGCGAGGCACCTATTGTATTCGTTCTGGTTCTTATTATTTTTAGGGGCCAAACACCGAAGGTGTGAGGCACCTATTGTATCTGTTCAGTTTCTTATTAGGGGCCAAGCACCGAAGGTGCGGAAGCAACTATTGTATCTGTTCCGTTTCCTATTATTAGGGGCCAAGCACCGAAGGTGCGAGGCACCTATTGTATTCGTTCTGGTTCTTATTATTATTAGGGGCCAAACACCGAAGGTGTGAGGCACCTATTGTATCTGTTCAGTTTCTTATTAGGGGCCAAGCACCGAAGGTGCGAGGCACCTATTGTATCTGTTCCGGTTCTTATTATTAGGGGCCAAGCACCGAAGGTGCAAGGCACCTATTGTAATCGTTCTGGTTCTTATTATTATTAAGGGCCAAGCACCGAAGGTGCGAGGAACCTATTGTATCTGTTCCGGTTCTTATTAGGGGCCAAGCACCGAAGGTGTTCTGTTTCCTATTCTTCTTCTTCTTCTTCTGTTTCCGACTGGGCGTCTATGGCAGCCATAGACCGTTTTGCGGGAAAGTTGTTTTGGTTTGACATTCTGATAGAGGACAGTCCCAACATTAAATATACCAATTTTGGTGTCTCTAACTCATTCCCTCCAGCGCCACCAACTGTCCAAATTTTACTTTTATTATGCTAATAACTTTTGAACCGTAAGGCCTATCAACAAAATAATTTTTTCTCTTGTTCCGGAGCTCATGCCGTTTCGATCGCACCCTATGACGTCATTTTCCGTCATAAAAAAAAGGCCGCCATTTTGAATTTTCCAAAAAACCTACTTTTGCGAACTCGTCCTAGACGGTTTCTCCGATTTTCACCAAAATTGCACTGGATCATCTCCAGGAAGTGCTGACAAAAAGTTATGGAATTCAAGTTGATTCGCTTAACCGTTTTTAATAAACTCACAAACTAATTTTACGTAGCGCTTGCGAAAACAGATGTAAGGCTGTATCTCCTTAACGCTTGATCCTATTCAGACCAAACTTGGTACATGTCATCACAAGCATGACCTGAGGCTACATGTTGCGTATTGGCGCAGCGCCACCGAGTGGTCCGGAGATATGAAAAATGGCTATTTTTGCTCATAACTTCTGAACGGTTTATCCAAAAATCAAAAACTTGGTCTCGTTAGATTCAGGGCGTCCTGCCGAGTCGACTGATATCAAATTTTTCCATATCGGCCATTTTGTCTGTTGGCCATTTTGAATTATGTGCTAAAATGCTGTATTTTTTGAACGCATTAACGAATTGTTACGAAACTCGGTGTGGGTCATCAGTACGATGCCCTGAAGGAGCTTGAGAAGTTTCGAAACAGCGCCACCTAGTGGTGAATTTTTTTTCAAACGCTTATAACTTTGTGTGTGGTACACTTATTTTCACGGGAGTCATCTTTTTGAGTTCCTGAATCGTTGCCGAGTCCAACGATATCAAACATGTTGGGTTTCGTCTTACGGTTGGTGAAGCGTAGCTATTTAGCGCAAAAAAAAACATTTGCCGATATCTTTGAAACCGCTGCTCTGATCGAGACGAAACCACCGTCAGAAAAACGGAAACATAGGTCTATAGCGATATGCCAATGCCCAAATGCGAAAATATTGATAGTAAGGGGTAGTGAAACTCAATCAAAGTCAAGTAGCAGTCTTTTTTTACGTGTTTTTTCATATAAATGTCTATAACTCTGAAGCGAATTGAGATATTTGCACCAAAATTGACACACATATGTATGGGGTCACTCTGAGGACACCTAACAAAAATTGTGGGACTGTGCCTCTTGGTGGCACTATAATAGAACAAAACGTAAAATTCCCATTGACTTCAATACAGTTAATAGATTCCTTGGGTTATGCCGAAAACATAGATATCAGGTTTGCCATAATCAGCCAAATTTCCTGTCCGCCATCTTTATTTCTTTGAAAAACCTTCTTTTTCGAACTCCTCCTAGACAGTTTGTCCGATTTTCATGAAAATTGAATCGTATCATCTCCAGACGGTGCCGACTAAAAGTTATGGATTGCGTGACGATAGACAAAACCGTTTTCGTATAGACCCCTTCACGGTTGACGTCACAGAAAAAAATGTGGTGCGCAGTGCGCATGTCGGGGTCAGAAAAGTTCATTCCATCGTGCTGTAACCATAGTTTAAACTAGCTACCGGAGAATTTCTCGTCAATATGCCTACTTGTTGCGTCGATAAATACTAACTTGCGATAAATACTAACGATAAATACTAATATGCCTACTATGATTTTTGTTTTGTATTTTATTTTATGCCTACTATGATTTTTGTTTTGTATTTTTGTTTTGTGTTTTGTATTGTAGCCGATGTATTTTTACATCGGCTATGTACACTGTGCATGCTTGTTCTAACCGTGTGTTGTGTCTTAATGAGTTTTTTTATGTTTTTTTTTTTTTTTACATCACGCACTGACGCGATTTCCACACATCTCAGCGATAATTGGTGAAATGACAGACACACGTTTAGTTTAGCAATAATGACCCTGGAGGAAAGGTGAGGGATGCTGGGTAAGTGATTAGTAGCCTAGTCGTGACAGTTTTCTAGGGAAATATAACCATCAAGTCAATCAGTCTACAGTGCATCCGTCTCCAATATGATAAATAATTAACGTTACCCTGCCATGCAGGTGCAATTTGCAGTATGGATGTAGCCTTCCCGCTTGTTGATCACGACCCAGGCTTTGTATATAGAGGTCTTTTTTCCCCTGGCGCTGGCTCGGTAAAACCTCCGCTTTTAACACACAAAAGTCATTGCTTATATCGCTATATAAAACCGTCTGAACATGCCCACAAACTACGTAATTATACGCGTCTAGCGATTTGTAGGGTAATACCCGTGCGATCGGAGTGCAATCTCAAGCGCGTGTCATGTTTCTATGGCAACCAAAGCAGAGCTTCCGCCAAACCGCCCTTTACATTTTCTCCAATGTTTATAATAATTTAAATGAACCGTCTTGTCTAATCTTAAAGTTTTGGTGGTCAGATTCAGACTCAATGAAGAGCAGAGAGCACAGATATGATCAAGCTGAACAAGCAACAAACAATCGTTATTCAAAAGGGCAAACAGTTAAAGTTATTATGCGAGTTAACTCGAGTCAGAATGTACATGTGCAAGGTTGCATTTGTCATCCATCACCGTGACATCAAGTGGACTTTTAAAGCTGAAATAATGAGTGGATTAAGCTTGGAATAACGAGAGAAATAACATGGATAGAACTTTCTTGTCGGTGGATTAATGCATCAGTCAGTCAGTAACGAGACGACGGCTACTAAAATTAGGTAAGACAAAAAGTTTTATTTTTCGCAACTCGTGTGAAATAATATGTGACAATCGGGTCCAGTCGGGTTTGTGTCTTCCTGCCGGGTTTGGGTCCAGTTTTCAAATAATAGACGGGTCCAGGTCGGGTCCGGGCAGTTCGTTTATGTCATTTCTCGGGTCTGCACGGGTCCGGGTCCAACTTTTGAAATGAACGACGGGTCCGGGTCGGTTCGGTGTAGCACATTACGGGTCTCTTTCGGGTCGGGCATGAGTTTTTGGACCCGTGAAGACCTCAAAGACAGTGCATAACTTGACACAATATCATGCCGGTCTATTAGCCGCGCCTTTTTTCTGACCCCATGCTGCGCGCGCACCCAACAGAGGATTCCAATGTGTACAAACATTGAAGGGGTCTATACCTCAGCATCAAATTTGAGGCATGCTGCCAAAATGACAATTTAGGCGTTATCTCTGCAATGCCTTCACATTTTCACACCAAACTTTGTATGTGTCATTGTCAGGGCCGGCGCTCCGCACACGCACACCACGCACTGCGCGTAGGGCACCAAGTGCTTGGGGGGGGGCACCAAAAAATCTGGGTCGTGAAAAATCATCACAATAGGCTACTAGTATAAATAACAAATACAATATGTCTAAAGCATGTTGATATACAAAAGCAATACAAAAGTAATATAGGCCTAGACCAAATTAGTGGAGAAAAAGGTGAATCTCCTGTGCCAGTCTCCCTCTGGTGCCCCCCCTTCCCCACCTCGCAGTGGTCTGTTCCTCAATCAGTGTCAAATTTGGCAGACACCTGATCGACATCAGACATGGCCTCGAAAAGGCACCAAGAGTCGGGGGCGGAAAAAAGGAAAAAGAAGAGACAGTGGGATGATACTCGTTTGCAGGTAAGACAATGTTTTAAATAAAAGTGTTAGTTTTGTAGGCACCCTTGCTTCGTGTATGCATGTCCAGAGGGGCGTCGCTAGTTGTGCAAATGATCAAGGGCTTTGCCCTGCATTTAGAATTTTTTATTTTAACGGGGGTCCGGGGGTTTCTCCCCGGGAATTTTTTTTTTACTTGGGCTGTTTAAGATGCAGTTAGTTTGTTTGAGAAGAAAAGGAAGATCGCTTAGATATGTTTTTTCATTGTTGTTCTATCGGATAATGCGGTAAAAGGCCCAAGGGCGACATCTATTGGTGAAACTGCTATTAGAAAAAAAAAAACACAATCTCACTGTTTGTATATTTTCATATGGAGGTGTCAAATTATTAGGGCTGGGAAAAGCTTAATCACATCCAAAATAAAAGTTTCTACATGAGTACTGTGTATAATTATTTTGTATATATAATATACACACATATGCACAATTGCACATATATATTTAAGAAATATTTGCATGTATATACTGTATATATTTATAGATAATTTATATTATATATATATATATATATTAAAATATTTTATATATAAATAACAAATATTTCTTAAATACATATACAAAATAACTATACACAGTACACACACACATAGGCCTATATCATTAATGTAGACACAAACTTTTATTTTGGATGCGATTAATCGCGATTCATCTTTTCCCAGCCCTACAAATTATGTACAGAATTATTATACTGTGCCTCATCAGACCTCTTTTAAAGGTAGAATAAAGTTTTGAATTTTAAATGTCCAGTGAAACATAGGCCTATATCAGGGGTGCCCTGCTCCTGGCGATCGACTGTCCTGCACAGTTCATCTCCAACCCTAATCAAACACACCTGAATGTGATCCTAAAGACCTTAATTGGCTACTTCAGGTGTGTTTGATTAGGGTTTGAGATGAACTGTGCAGGACAGTCGATCGCCAGGAGCAGGATTGGGCACCCCTGGCCTATATTATATAAAAGACTAATGTGTGCAATATTTTTGTATGATGGTTATTGATTCAGTAGAATCCCTGAATATTTTGTCTTGTATTTCTGAATGCAGGGTCAATGCTAAAATACATGCAAGGAGCAACTCAAGGCCAGGAGGAAGAACCATCAACCAGCAGTTGTAGCCAGTTCCAAATATGTGTTTTTAGTAATTGTGGTGTTTTTTGGTATTTATAATTTTAACCTTTTTATTATTTATTTCTTTTCATATTTGGTGCCATTGTTAATGTAAATGTATTTATTTGCAGCAGTTATTTTGGAAGTAAAGAGAACCTAACTAAGAAATTCTTAATGGTTGTTATTCCTTGGGTGAGTGGGTGGTTGGGGTTGGGGAGGGGGTTGTTAAGGGGGCACCACCAAGCATTTGTGCTTAGGGCACCCAAATGGCTAGCGCCGGCCCTGGTCATTGTCATCTCATTCTGATCACAACGTATCAATTTCATAAGTGCGCCACCTGTTGTTCGAAAGTGATAAACCATTTAATCATTTTATAAGTTACTGTATTTGTAATTTAAGCCATTTTGCCTAAATTCATCTTTAAATGTCTTCAATTGCACCTTGTTGCAGTTGGTCTGACACATGTTGGCTTGTCTTGTCTTGTCGTCTTGTCGTATTGCAGCTTGCAGCTATATTTAGGGGCCAAGCACCGAAGGTGCGAGGCACCTATTGTATCTGTTCTGTTTTTTATTAGGGGCCAAGCACCGAATGTGCGGAGGCACCTATTTTATCTGTTCCGTTTCTTATTAGGGGCCAAGCACCGAAGGTGTGAGGCACCTATTGTATATGTTCCGTTTCTTATTATTAGTGGTGCTTGCTGAAAGCAAGGCAACACTATTACTATTGCGTATTTTAAGTCGGCCAAAAAGTTTGACACGCTACTCCTCCCGCAGTTTTTGTCACAGACCCATGAATGAGGTCTCAAAACGTGCGGATTATTCGGGAATGGTGTGCTATGACTTTTCTAAGTGATCGGGGGTACAATGTTCACCCCAGGGGCGAACAAATTTCCCAAAAATCCCATAGACTTAACATTGCGACAAACTTTGACGATTCATAGCTCCGGGCGAGGATTTCACAGAAGCCTGCGATTTACCACATTTGAAGAGGCTGACAGGCTCTGTAAGAACATACCTCACAATGGGGTAAAAGTTGCACCCCTGGGGGGCAGGAGCTCCCCAAATTGTCCCATTGAAAATTTTCTAGTATAGCATATACTATTCTATTCCATTATACTATTCCAGGAAAAAGTTTGGCGCACTCCTCCGCCCACAGCTTTTGTCACAGACACATAAATGAGGCATCAAATCGTGCGGCCTATTAAGGAGAAGTGTCCTATGACTTTTTTAAGAGATCGGGGGTACGGTGTTCGACCCAGGGGCAAACAAATTTCCCAAAAATCACATAGACTTAACAATGCGACAAACTTTGATGACTCATAGCTCCGAACGAGGATTTCGGACAAACGTGTGATTTGCCATATTTGAAGAGGCTGGCAGGCTCTTTAAGAAAATACCTCACAATGTGGTAAAAGTTGCACCCCTGGGGGACAGGAGCGACCCAAAGTTTCCCCATTGACTTACTATGGTGAAGGACGTCCCATCAAATGCATGTGTATTTCCTACTATGGTAAATTGCATAGGGATTTTGTATTGAACATAGCTCTGGATCACAGTGTCATAGAGACAAGGGGGCGGGCTCATTTTACTCAGACGACCAATCAGTCTCTCAAGATCATTGTGAAGCTATTAAGCCACGCCCTAGCAACCATTTAGCACACCTTAGCAACAACTCCCATAGACTTCCATTAAAAAAGATCAAAGGGATATCTCAGGATATAAGTGTCATAGAAACATAAGGGTGGGCTCGTTTGACTTGGGCCAGCAAACAGCCAATCCTGAATCACCTCAACACTTACTGGCCACGCCCTAGCAACCATTATCGAGGACCTTAGCAACCAAATTTTAAAGAGGGATATCTTCCATTCTGAATGTCACAGAGGCATGGGAGTTGTATAATATCAATCAAACTGACAAGCAGCCTTTGGAGATTCATGATTGGCAGCTGCCAAGCCACTCCCTAGCAACCAAACAGAGTACCCTAGCAACCATTTTGCAAGACCTATATCTCTGCATCAAAACATCGTATAGAGAAGGGGGTTGGTTTATACATTCACATTGACTTTGGAGCTTCATGTTTGGCAGCTGCCAAGCCACTCCTTAGCAACCAAACAGAGTACCCTAGCAACCGTTTTGCAAGACCTATATCTCTGCATCAAAACATCATATAGAGATGGGGGTTGGCTCTTTTTACTCATGCTAGCAAACAGGACTTGCTACATGCTATACATGCTAGCAGTGAATAGCTACATGCTAATATTGATTAGCTAAGTGCTAAATCATGCCATGAACATTATAAAAACTCTATAGTAACCATATATGAACACTACCAACCACCTAGTAACACCATAGCAACCACCCAAAATACCATAGCAATCACCTAAAACACCCTAGTAACCACCTAGCAACACACTAGCAACCGCCTAGCAACCATCCAGAACACCTTAGCAACACCCTAGCAACCACCTAGCAACACCCAAGCAACCACCCAGAATACCCTTGCAACACCCTAGCAACCACCCAGAACACCCTAGCAACCACATAGAACACCCTAGCAACCACCCAGAACACCCTAGCAACCACCCAGAACACCCTAGCAACACCCTAGCAACCACCTAGAACACCCTAGCTACACCCTAGCAACCATCCAGAACACCTTAGCAACACCCTAGAAACAACCTAGCAACACCCTAGCAACCACCCAGAACACCCTAGCAACCGACTAGCAACACCCTAGCAACCACCTAGCAACACCCTAGCAACCACCCAGAACACCCTAGCAACCACCTAGCAACACTCTAGCAACCACCAAGAAAACCCTAGCAACCACCTAGCAACACCCTAGCAGCCACCCAGAACACCCTAGCAACCGGGTGGTGAGTTTTGCCACTGCAAGCACCACTTCACATTTTCTTCTGGAAATGTACATTCTAGTTATTATTAGGGGCCAAGCACCGAAGGTGCGGAGGCACCTATTGTATCCGTTCCGGTTCTTATTAGGGGACAAGAACCGAAGGTGCGGAGGCACCTATTGTATCTGTTCCGTTTCTTATTAGGGGCCAAGCACCGAAGGTGCAAAGCACCTATTGTATCTGTTCTGTTTCTTATTAGGGGCCAAGCACCGAAGGTGCGGAGGCACCTATTGTATCCGTTCCGGTTATTAGGGGCCAAGCACCGAAGGTGCGGAGGCACCTATTGTATCTGTTCCAGTTCTTTTTATTAGGGGCCAAGCACCGAAGGCGCGAGGCACCTATTGTATCTGTTCTGTTTCTTATTATTAGGGGCCAAGCACCGAAGGTGCGGAGGCACCTATTGTATCTGTTCCTGTTCTTATTAGCGGCCAAGCACCGAAGGTGCAGAGGCACCTATTGTATCTGTTCCGGTTCTCATTAGGGGCCAAGCACCGAAGGTGCGGAGGCACCTATTGTATCTGTTCCGGTTCTTATTAGGGGCCAAGCACCGAAGGTGCGGAGGCACCTATTGTATCTGTTCCGTTTCTTCTTCTTATTATTATTCTTCTTCCGTTTCCGACTGGAGGTCTATGGCAGCCCATAGACCGGTTTGCGGGAAAGTTGTTTTGGTTTGACATTCTGATAGAGGACAGTCCCATCATTAAATACACCAATTTTGGTGTCTCTAACTCATTCCCTCTAACGCCACCAACTGTCTAAAATTTCACTTTTACTATGCTAATAACTTTTGAACCGTAAGGCCTATCAACAAAAACCTCTTGTTCCTGAGCTCATGCTGATTCGATCGCAACCTATGACGTCATTTTCCGTCATAAAAAAATGGCCGCCATTTTGAATTTTCCAAAAAACCTACTTTTGCGAACTCGTCCTAGACGGTTTGTCCGATTTTCACCAAAATCACACCGGATCATCTCCAGGCAGTGTTGACAAAAAGTTATGGAATTCAAGATGATTCGAATAACCGTTTTCGATAAACGCGCAAACTAATTTTACGTAGCGCTTGCAAAAACAGACGTGAGGCTGTATCTCCGCAACGCTTACTCGTTTTCAGACCAAACTTGGTACGTGTAATCACAAGCATGACCTGAGGCTACGTGCTGCGTTTCGGCGCAGCGCCACCTAGTCGTCCGGAGATATGAAAAATGCTATTTTTGCTCATAACTTCTGAACGGTTTCTCCAAAAATCAAAAACTTGGTCTCGTTAGATTCAGGGGGTCATGCCGAGTCGACTGATATCCAATTTTCCCAGATTTTGGCTGTCGGCCATTTTGAATTATGTGCTAAAATGCTGTATTTTTTGAACGCATTAACGAATTGTTACGAAACTCGGTATGGGTCATCAGTACGATGCCCTGAAGGAGCCTGAGAAGTTTCGAAACAGTGCCACCTAGTGGTGATTTTTTTTTTCAAACGCTTATAACTTTGGGTGTGGTACACTTATTTTCACGGGAGTCATATTTTTGAGGTCCTGAATCGTTGCCGAGTCCAACGATACCAAATATGTCGGGTTTCGTCTCACGGATGGCGTAGCGTAGCGATTTAGCGCGAAAAAAACACGTGGCGATATCTTCGAAACCGCTGCTCCGATCGAGACGAAACCACCGTCAGAAAAACGAAAACGTAGGTCGATAGCTAAATGCCAATGCCGAAATGTGAAAATATTGATAGTAAGGGGTAGTAAAACTCAATCAAAGTCAAGTAGCGGTCATTTTTTACGTGTTTTTTTACATAAATGTCTATAACTCCGAAGCGAATTGAGATATTTGCACCAAAATTGACACACATATGTATGGGGTCACTCTGAGGACACATTGTGGGACTTAGCCTCTTGGTGGCGCTATAATAGAACAAAACGTGAAATTCCCATTGACTTCAATACAGTTTTGTGATTTAAATGCTATACTAAACAAATGCATTGGTGTAATATTACGAAACTCAGTGTGTGCCATAAGCAGCATGCCCTGAAGGTACTCAAAAGATTTTAAGACAGCGCCACCTGTTGGTCAAAAGTTATAATTAATTTCTGAAAATGCTAATAACTTTTGAATAAATTTGCCCCTATTGCAATGAAACTGAGCTTAATAGATTCCTTGGGTTATGCCAAAAACATAGATATCAGGTTTTCCATAATCAGCCAAACTTCCTGTCCGCCATCTTTATTTCTTTGAAAAACCTACTTTTTCGAACTCCTCCTAGACCGTTTGTCTGATTTTTACCAAAATCGAATCGTATCATCCCCAGACTGTGCCGACTAAAAGTTATAGATTTCGTGTTGATACATGAAACCTTTTTTGTATAGCGCAGCAGCAAAGTTGAGGCATGATGCTAAAAGCACTATTCAGGCTTTATCTCTGCAATGCCTTGACAAATTGACACCAAACTTTATATGTGTCATTGTCACTTCACTCTGACCACATCACATCAATTTTGTAACTGCTCCACCTATTGGTCAAAAGTGTTATACCATCATAAATCATTATTATTATTGACTATTGATAATGTTCTGCCATTTTGCCTAAAATCATCTTATGACTTTGGTTGTTGCAGTTAGTCTGATTCTACTTACAATGTTTGTTTAACTCTTAATTTTGCCACTACTGTGAATTTTGATGTAACTTTAGAAATGTTGGTCTGATTGATTTCAAATTTGGCATGCAGTGTCTTTGTTTGTATTGCAATTAAATTGCATGTTACATTTCAGCAGCTATTAGACAGGGATAATAAAATCGGAATGAAACAGTTATACTGTGTAGCATATATGCGTGACAATAAATAGACAATAATGAACAATTATAAACTATAGTGCTTACTGTAGTGCCTACCTTGCAGATTTGTCTTTAAGTGGAACCCATTGATTAATTATTTTATTCGAAATATCATGGTTATTTTTTCTCCAGTACGTATTTTAAATGCCAAATAAAGGTGTAAATATATATATATATATATATATATATATATATTACCCTATACTCTCCTTTTATAAAAACTTCCAGTCGGTAGTAGATTTTTTTTAACGAGCGAGTCATTGAATCATTCAATCAAATAGCTTATATTCAATAAAACCCCCATTCTTGTTCATGTGATAATGCTTAACTGTATCTTATGTTATTACAGTTTTTCTCAATTGCTAAAACACTAAAATCTATTGGCTGAACAAAGTTCTCAATTGCCTGAACTCATTTAGCTAATTGTGGAGTCTGTTGTCAATACCATAAACAATTTCACATGGTACAACACAATTTGCAGATCTCACTTAGACTTTTCAGCAAAACTCTGAACTCATTCTCATTCTCAAAACACATTCTGCACTCCAATGCACATATCATCCATACTGGTAAACACAAGTGGCAACAATCAAATTCAAAAAGAGAACAAATGTCATTTGATTGAACACAACCACTCAAAACTGATTCAACCTGTTTCAAATGATGTGACAACCAATATTAGCCAGTTCAGAGAGCAAACTGAACTGAGAGGTTGTTGAAGGTGGAAAGGAGAAAGTCTGAGAATGGATAGAAGAAACAATGTGAGAGGACGAGGGCGTATGCAAGGTGGTCGACGAGGAGGAGGAGGGCAAGAAGAGGAGGAGGAAGAGGATGAGGAGGGCAAGAAAGAGGAGGAGGAAGAGGAGGAGGAGGGCAAGAAAGAGGAGGAGGAGGGCAAGAAAGAGGAGGAGGAAGAGGAGGAGGACGGCAAGAAAGAGGAAGAGGAGGAGGGCAAGAAAGAGAAGAAAGAGGAGGAGGAAGATGAGGAAGAGGGGGGCAAGGAAGAGGAAGAAGAGGAGGAGGAGGAGGGGGACAAGGGACAATATTGCTTGTGATGTCGACAAAGTGCTTTTGCCTGACCCAGGCCAAAGACAAGAAGCACATTGATCACGTTTACTCCTTTCATTTGTGTCCCTTTGATTATCGTATACTGTAGTACAGTGCACTGCTGTAGACCGTACAATGAAAAAAATATATGAAATTTGTTTTGAGATTTGTTTTGACATATACAGTAGTTCTCCCTGAGAACTATATGTTTTGAACAATGTGTTTTAATTTTTTTGGTGTATTGTTTATTGACTGCTTGATGGTGTATAGCATTTTGATCACTTTGTTTATGATTCGAGAGCAGTGTTTGAATTTGAACACAGGTAAAACTGTTTTGAGAGCAGTGTTTGAATTTGAACACAGGTAAAACTGTTTTGAGGCGAAAGTTTCATTTTGCAAGAGGTTTTGTAAATAGTGCTTGAAGATGAGGTTTTGTGTTTAATGTTTTCAGAAAGTGGAGCAAGGTTTCAGAAATTGTGTTTTAGCAATTGAGAAAAACTGTAATATAAAAATCAGTAAGTCATTATTGGGGCATTTTTGCACACATAAATTTATATATTTGGCCAAAAGAAAATAAGTATTTTATAGAAAATTTAAATTATATTGAAAAGAAGAATAAAATGTCATATTAATTTTAATTTTTATTAATGGACAGCAATATCTTTAATTGTGTCAACTTGAAAAATATGAATATTGAAATTATGCGTTTTATTTTATTTATAAAGTTTTAACATTCTCAGCATATCACAGATTCTATGTAAAGCGATGTTGTCACAATAGTTATACAAATTCTCAAAGATCAATAGGCTCCCTCTAGTGGCCAACATTAATATCACAGCCTTTGTATTTCAGTTGAAATGGCTGATAGGCTTACATTAGGGAACCCTCATTATATTACTTATGGCACCAAGACATGTTCTATCAACAGAAAACACTACCTACATTTGTATTTTATACAGGATAAATATTTTTAACCACATCCCTGCTGTTTACTTGCCTATTGATTGTTCATATAAAGACTGTTACGTCTACGTTACAAATAGAATACAATCAAAAAGAAGGTGAAAGTTATGACGGTGAAGGTTTACACATCAGTTTATGGGTTCGATATTTCATTGCACACATGGGCGGCGCTGAAACGCCCCTTTCATCTGATTTGGTCAAAACGCACCGATTTCAGTAAGCGACGAGATTTTATTTCTGTCAGGCAGAATAAGAGTCAATTCGAGAGTGGCACTGCCAAATGCACTTTAATAAAATAATGTCTGAAACTACCACTCACTCTTAACTACACACAATATTTGACGAAATATTGAAATATTTTGCTGGTCACGTAATTCGTGCTGTTGTGACTTGCAAGCGACCCTAATAATGTGAACCACAGTAGGCTCTATGACAGATTATTTTGGCATGTTGTATTTCCCATGAATAAATACAGTGCAAATAGTTCAATCTCTTTGGACGAAAGGGAAGTGGAAATAAAAATCAATAATAGGCTGAACTGTACCATGATAATATCTCCGTAACATTTACCACTCTCGTCTTTTATTTACAGCAAAAGGCCGTTTGTGACATATGTAGGCTATAAATAATTTAGAAAATTGAATAGAAATAACGTTTATATTTATGAATGTAAGCATGTGTATATCCTACTGAGTTCACACGAAAATAAAGAGACAGAAAAGAGAGAAGCTAGAATCAGTGAATGTACATTAATCCTGACAAAATTACCAGATTTGGGTTTAATTAAAATCATGTTGGTATAACATGGCATACCTTTAAAATGTGGTTTTATTATAAAACTAATACAATTTTATTACATACTGAATTAGTCGATGTTTCTCTGAGTTAATTTATTATGTTGACTTAATAAAGTATGCTTTATGCTTCACCAAACTCAGCTCAGACCTACAGACTGGTCTGACTCACTTATATTTTTTCTAACTGGCCAGACTTACTTTCCCAAAAAAATCCATTGACTTGTTTAATCTTAATGAAGGCCGTAATACGTATTGCTGTCCACTAGAGGCCGTAATACGTATTGCTGTCCACTAGAGGGGACGACAGGATAATAAGTGTTTTCTACTCTTTTTCCCTGTTTGCATCCGTTTAAATGACAAATAAATGCATGGATTACATTTATAAATATGCCATATCTATGTATCCACACTCTTTAGTTAATTTTGAGATATTGTTATTCACACTGGTTTTTGCATTAAATGTTTGTCCATCTGGAACTATATTTTAAGATGTAGCCTACTAAAAAAAAAAATGATTCAACAACACAAACTCTTGTTTTTATTCTGCAAATTTGTTGTCCTTTCAAGTAGGCTATAGCCTACAAGTTATCATGCTTTTTGCCATGGTTTGCCATACTGCCCAGAATAAACTAAATTTTCTCCATAAAATATGTTTAAAAACATCATAAAATCATATCTTACAATAGTTCCAGTTCTGTTTAGGCAATTTTAATTTGTAATTCTTATGTTAATGTATATAGGCCTTACAAATTTAAACTTATCTGTCTATCTATATATCTATCTATCTATCTATCTATCTATCTATCTATCTATCTGTCTGTCTGTCTGTCTGTCTGTCCGTCCGTCCGTCCGTCCGTCCGTCCGTCCGTCCGTCTGTCTGTTAAAACAGTGGACTGCTATATTTCACAAGGGAAGCCCATTTGTGCTTGTTGATTCAGTCACTTTTGACTGTAAATGTAATTTGATTGGAAATCATAAATTTAGCATTTTGCCCATTTGAAATACATATTTGGTTTTATTGTTATAAGGTTTAGTAGATATACTGTAAATAAATGGCAAAAAATAGTATAGATTATATTTGCATAAGATGATAATGATTGATGCAAATAACAATGCATGCTTTAAACAGTTTAATGTATACCCTCACTTTAATTGATATTATAAATGAATGTGAGCTTTAATTGAAGTACAGGCACACACACATTATAACACACATTATACAGTCACTGCTTTCACAGATGCAAACAAAACATTCAAGACCACAAAAAAAGTTCACAGGCAAAACTAATGTAGCGAGTGGGGTGTGTTCCATGAGAATTGCGCTTGATTGAATCAGGTGGGGGTTGTTTGGCGCTACACCTTTAAATCCAGCAAGCTGGCGTTTTTCTGATTTTGTGCTGTCACAGACTGTTGCTTCCTTGGGCTCTTGGCTGAGTGTACGAGTTGACGTGAGTTCATGTTTAAATGTATTGTGAGATCAAACTTCGTTGGCATATGTGATTTTGATTCAGACGATTACATTGTTTCATAGCCTCATCTGGTGTTTGTGCGATTACCCAGTGCCGTGGGTGCTGCTAGTGTCCTGTCTTTGCGAGCCCTCATCGGCTGCGATTTGTGTTGGCGTGCTTCAACGAGGACGTAAGTCTCTTGTTTTTATTGAGCAGCGTTTGTCTCTCTGTTTTTTAGGTACTTGCTGTAATGAGCTTTTATTGATTTAATGTTTTGTTTATTAGTTCCGGGTTTAGAGTGATAACTACAAGTTTGCCGAGTGCGTTTGTTGTGCTGAGAACGTAAGTTTATTGGCTTCCTTTCTCCCTCACGTTTGTACATCTTCATGGAACGTTTATGTATGTAGTTTTGTTGATTTGCAATGTTTCTTTATTATAGTTTGGTTTGGGAATGTTCAAGTAAAAACCAGACGGAGTAAAGTGACTGCTACAGTATTATAAATAACCAAGCTTTTGGCTTGATGCTGTGGTCTGTTCATACAGGTTAGTGTTTTAGGCTACTTTAGCCTCTTGCCCCGCTCTGATTGTTCAGCTTAACTTTTTACATCTTAAGTAATTCCCAGCCCACTGGTGCACAGGTTACAAATTAGGCATAGTTGTGATGCCGACCTGTATAATTATGTAACATTGTAATTGTTCTTTGCAGGAGGAGCGACATATGCTGTCCTGGCCACTGTTTTTCCTGTGCTCTTGTTTTTAGGATTCAGCTCCGTGTGTGTGTGTGTGTGTGTGTGTGTGTGTGTGTGTGTACGTGTACGTGGGGAAGAACCGTCTATTGAGTTGCCTATGAGCCTCCCCCTGTATGTGTTGATGTATGTTGTGTGTTATGTAATGTGTGTATTTTAGGCCATTGGGTTAGTGCAATATCCTGGGTAGGGGGGGATAACAATTTTGTTGTGTGGCCACTGGTTTGTCTAGTGTGAATTATTTTCTTTTTGGTTATATTTGTGCATGTGATTTTGTGACGTGCCTTATCAATTTTGAGTTTGCTGTATTTTGTTTTTGAGTTATTTGAACACTTTGATTTTTAGATTTTGTTGTCCCTGGCTCTGTTGCCCAGAGGCCTAATGTCCTTGGAATACTGTTTCATGTTGTGAGTCCATTGAGCTAAAGAAAAGGGGAAATAAATAAATTTTCTATTTTTATAATACTCCAGTCTCTCTCTCTCTCTCTCTTTGTATTTCCCTTTATTGGGATAGCCTGCTGGTAAATATTTGAAATTCTTACGGTCGCTTAGCCATGATTATTTGGTTACAATAGACCCCCCTGAGGTTACACTAACCTTTTCATAAATTATAATAAAAATGACAGAATTCTTAGTATGTATCGACAATAAGTAGCATTTCTGTATTTACAGTTTTTCTCCATCAATTGTTCTCAAAACAATTAGTACAAACTGCAAAACTTAGTTGATAACCTGCAAAAGTGTGTCACTTGCTCAAAATGGATAACTCATTCATCAAAAGCAAATATTCATGTCATTGAATGTCAGTGTCGCCAAGATGAAAAGTCCTAACACCAGTGTTTATGAACAAGATAGTCAAATGGCTTTGTCATGTTTTCATTGACAGTTTACTCTGTAAGTGTTTGCCAATACAAAAAAAATGTCAGATCTTGGTGACACTACCTGAAAATCCTCAAGACAGTCCTATAAACTATTTGCACAGCCATTTGAAAACTACAGTAAAGTTCCACATTACTGTATTTACGTAGTGAGGTACAGTAATTGAGTACAAGACACTGAATATGTATGTTTCATATTTTTACTGCATGCTCTTTGCAATTCTAATTTGTTCACAACATTGTGCAAAAGAAAAAATACACCCTTGTTTACAACAAACATAAACTCCCTTTGGGTAGATCGGTGCACAACTGTAAACAATATCACAGTATATTGGAACTGAACATGCATACATATACTGTAAATCATACATGCATCATGAAAGCAATTGATGCATGTCCAAAAGCATTTGCAGTTTGTTGGGAGGAATGAGAAACTGCAACTATGATGTGCACAAATGACTAAATGTTGTGGAGGTTGAAATAACTGTTGTGCAAATGTAAATAGTGATGTGAGAAATGCACCAAAGCGACTGAGAAAAACTGTAATTAAGTAAATCAATTTAAAACTGAAAAGCCATACATTTGTATTATCCAAATGAGTAAAAATGGTGGAGGTGGTACAGACCAGTTCAGAACATATGGAAGACCAAGTCAAGAAGGCTGGAGAACCAAGGTGATACCACTTTACTGGAGGGCCAAGGTGGACGTAGAAGATCTGCAGATTGAGATCAAGCTGGTGGGAGTGACAAACATGGTGAAGCTGGAGGGATGGACTACAGTGGAGCCAAATGATTGGAGGGTGCAGGCAGAGTCTGTTGTTTTAACTAGAAGGTGACAGACGATGTGTAGTGTATTCATAGTCCTAGAACACAGAACAGCAATTATAAATACTAAATATGCTCAGATCAAGTCATTTTAAAGATGTTTTTCAGTTAGAATGATAGAGTGGGTTACCTTGATGGAGCCAGAGGGTTGGAGAACCAGTGTGATACCACTGAACCAGACAACCAAGCGGAAACAGAAGATGTTCGGGACAAGGTGAAGCCGGTAGGAATGAGGATGATGGTGCAGCTGGAGGGATGAAGGTCCTTGGTGAAGCTGATGGTACAGACATAGCGGTAGGCTTGGAAGTCTGTTGTGGAACCAGGGGTGTCAGACCAGAGCGAAGTCTGAATGATGAGGGAGCCATTGAACCAGAGGGATGACAGGCCATATACTACAGCCAATGGAGTGAGCAACAAAGATGGAGCCAAGGCGACAGAAATCAAAACTAAACTAAAATAATCAATAGCAATAAACGGAAGAAATACAAGAGTTTGAATAGAGATAATGAAAGAAAAAAAAATAAACACAACCAAGCATAATGTTTAACCAAGGAAACAAATAAGAACACAACAAACAGGTAATTCAGAAAACAGTATGTCAACAGAAGAAAATTAACAAAATTAACATTAAAATAGGAGTCCAAAAACAGAATCAGAATAAGACATCTAGAATGTTGAAGTTTAGTGCCTTTGTTGACCTTATTAAGCTTGAACCAGCAAGTTTTAAGTCCTACTTTTCCGCCTTGGCTATTATGCAAAACCACACGTATGGGAGTTGTCACTACATGGTAGGCACATTTGTAATTTAGTTAGAAGAAATAGCATATACACTTGTAAGTGCAATATAATTTTGTTCACATTGCAGTTTCAAGTATACTTCCAAATACATTTGTTTTAAATAAGACATTGTAATACAAAGTGTAATGAAAATTAGTTCTTTCTGCTACTACTGTCCTGTTGTGAACAGTTTCTGTGAATGAAAGTATGCATGTTGTCATGACTATACCACATCTGCGTATCATCCTGTATAATCTTGAAATGTTCTCATATATTTCTACAAGCATAACAAAAAATATTTTTCAATTATGTTGTAATTTAAAAAAAAATTTGAATATGAAAAAACTATGTACACTCACATAAAGTCTGTATTTAGAAGCATAGTTTTAGCGACATGCAGTCTTTTTGTTGTCTGCTGTGCATCAAATAAAGTAGTTTTTTTCTCAAATAGATGATCAGATGGTCAGTTGTTCTAAACCAGAAGATGATGGTAGTGTCCTCATCATAATCCTACGAAACACTAAAACAAAATTTAGTTGTTTGATGCAATATTAAAAACATTTATGAATAATATTGTTATGAAAAGCAAATTCAAAACAGCATTTAATAAATATACTCACATCAGGTCTCTATGAAGATGATTCTTTGTTCTGATTACTGATGATAAGTGTCATGAAACTGCACATGGAACATGGACAGAGGTGATCCAAACGCAGGCTTTATTAAGAGGAGAATCCAGAGACAGAGGTACAGGGAAGCATGCATGGGTCAAAACCAGGTAAGCAGTCCAGATCAGCAATAATACAATGCAGAGATAAGGCAAACAGGAAGACCAGATACAGGCAGGGAGTCCAGGAACCGTGAAACCAAGAAACACTAAGAAACCAGGAAAATGCTTGATGCAGTAAGACACTTATAATACTGAGGCTCAGGCTATAATACTGAAAACTCAGGCTTAAATCAGGGACGCTCAATCTACAACAGGACCAACTAATGAACCATAATCAGTCCAGGGTAAAACATGAAGGAAACAATAAACTAGGAAGGAGTGCCCCCCAGATGTTCAAGCGGGCACTCCAGCCGCAAATCGTCACAGTAAGAGATGAAATCTTCTTCCTGTTCTTTTAACAGGAAGTAGGTCACTTAAGATGGAGGATGAAAATGGTCCAATTTTTGAATGGAAATTGAGAAGATAAATTGTCCTTAAAGGGTTAGTTCACCCAAAAATGAAAATTCTGTCAGTATTTACTCACCCTCATGTTGTTCCAACCCCGTAAGACCTTTGTTCATCTTCGGAACACAAATTAAGATATTTAAGATATTAAGATCGCTCCTGCATACAGTCCATAGGCTTCTTGAGGGACTGGCTCTTGCTGTCCCCGAAAAGTCATTAAAGACATCGTTAAAATAGTCCAAGTGACTACAGGGGCTCAATCTTAAGTTTATCAAACGACGAGAACACTTTTGTGCGCAAAAAAACAACAAAAATAACGACTTTATTTCAACTATTCACTTCCTTCTCCATGAGCCTGTAAGTCAGTTAACGTAGTGTGATTGCGTAGAGCTACGTCACACGTAGGCTCACTATTGGCCGACGCTGGTCATGTGTGTGTGATGCGTGTGACGTACAATAACAGAAGCTTACGCTATTAAACTAGTAACCTGACTCGCGCAGAGGGAGAAATAAACGAATAGTTGAAATAAAGTCTTTTTTTTTTTTTTTTTTTTTGCGAGCAAAAGTGTTCTCGTTGTTTGATAAACTTAAGATTGAGCCCCTGTAGTCACTTGGACTATTTTAACGATGTCTTTAATGACTTTTCGAGGACAGCAAGAGCCAGTCCCTCAAGAAGCCTATGGACTGTATGCAGGAGCGATCTTAATATCTTAAATATCTTAATTTGTGTTCCGAAGATCAACGAAGTTCTTACAGGGTTGGAACAACATGAGGGTGAGTAAATACTGACAGAATTTTCATTTTTGGGTGAACTAACCCTTTAAGCTTCACAATAGCCGCGTTTCCACTGCCGGGCCAGGGCCGGGCCGTGCTAGTGCGTGCCAGGGCCAGTCGCGTTTCCACTGTCACTTCCGGGGCTTGATCGGGGCTTCCTCAGGGCCAACGGCCAGGATTTCTGGCCCGTCGAATACCTTGGGCCAGAGGGGGCCAGCTCGGGCTAGAGGCGTGCTCAAGGTAAAAGGCGGAGTTTATCGGTGTTATGGAACGTTATGATCTGAAGCAAGATGCACATAGGGATGTCCATGTTTAACCGATTAACCGTTTAAAATTGCATAACATTTTAATTTGAACGTATAGGCCTATGCCAAATGCTGCGCAACAATATATAGGCTAGCTATATCGACGAATTTTCAGACATTTGTTTGATTTTTTTTGCCCCTTAAACATTTAAAATATTTGACAAATTAATATGAAAAAAATATATATTTTACTGGTTTTCTGAGGCCAAATTAGAACCTGGAAATGATATTTTCCCCGCAGTGCTGAATGAGAAGAGACGTAACCACAGCCTACAGAAAGGGGATTTATGGGTGATTTATAGGCTATAATAAATGTGTCTGATAATAAAATAATATAAAATAACGAGGCATTAATTGTTTATTAATAAACTATTGTTTTCTAAATGATTTTCGGCTAAAAACATATCTCCATCTCCGGATGCACATTTAGAGAGAAATTAAGCAAACATAGAAGATAGTGGCTTTCGATTCGAATTTGTTCGTTTTAAATTGGACATTTAAAGCTTTAATCTACAAAGGATATAACCCCTGTAGACTAAAGCTTTAAATGTCCAAATTAAAACGAACAAATTCGAATGCGGTGGCTGTTTCAGGTCTCGCGCTTCAGTTCACGGAGATCATGAAGCGCGCCTTGATTAATTGTTAAAGCACAACGTTTTCTTGTTATAAATAAATGTATTTGCGAATAATGTATTATTATGTTCTGTATGACCAGAAATTAAAGAGTATTTTAAGTTGTTTCCACTAAAAGAAATGCAATGAAACTGTTCACATGGGCGTCTCGCAGCCATCAGTGCGTGCTCCACACACACTGGATATGCGCTGATATTTGTCAAAAATATTGTGT